GATACCTTGATACAGAGTACGACGGTCTCATCACGGCGCTCCAGTTACAGCTCAGCGACTGGCAGTGACGCATCTCACGGGATGCGGCGACAGCATGCTGCGGATGCAGCAGATGAAGGGCATCTTCCGGGTCCAAGAGCCTCCATATGCTGCATGTCCAGGCGCGGCAGCTCGCAGCATCTTTCACGTGCACATGGGAACACCGCCACCGCGAGTTCAACCACGCCACGGATCACTAGTCCAAGCTCGCGCCCGACGACTGTACCTCATATGCGCATCCCGCCGACGGACGGCATGTCTTGCTGCCGCACGATGAGCTCCAACATGTTGAAGAGCTCTTGGCCGCTGACGTTCGACACAATTCTAGTACGTAAATCGTAGTAGATGGAGTATTTCGTCTGTAGAAAGATTTCAGTCCATATCATATCAAAAGGCCCGGCGTAAAGGTCGCTTCGACGGCCAAGATTGTGGCCAACGACAAGCAGAGCCAGGACAACGGGAACATCCACCGTCGGTGGCGATTTGAGGTCGATTAGAATGCACTACGACCTTGTTTGTGTGGTCCACGCTTCAACTGCTTCGAAGTTGTTCCGATGCTGGCTCCTATCCTTTGAACGTTGGTCACGTCGACGCTAATCGTACGGCTTGTCATTTCAAGCGAGACAACCCAAGCAACAACCACTAGTACGACAATATAAAGGCGGCAGATCGCCGCATTGCGCAGGCTCCATCACCAAAACTGGATCATCTCCAACGGTTGCAATCGTCTTGCTGCGTCGGGCAAACCAAGCCTACATACACATCGTCCAAGGCAATAGGACCTAGTCGTGGCCGTTGCTTGCACAACGCGTGCATATACTAGCCATCTCACGCATGAGAACTTACAATGGGAGGATTGAATCGGACCCTGGGCTACTGGAAGCTGTGCAGAGCAAGCGTCGTCGTACGGTATGTGATCTCACACTGGAGAGCTTGCAAGCAGAACGAGCACTCCGCTGTCGTTCTGGTACTTGTTTCATTTACATCTACATGTGCTTGTACGGACGTCATCTACCGTGCTTCTCGGGATCAAACCCAGTGGTGGCTTCCCGCGCATCACAGGATCGTATTTGGCGCGTGCTGATTGGACACAACATTCGAAATGCGTGCTCGGGATTGGTGGGCGCGCAGATATTGACGCCTTCTGATTGGCTTATGCGTCCCGTAAACCGTGACCAAAATGCTGGACGCACGTTGAAGCTGCGTTGCGACGCGCGATCACCAGGCTCCAAACGCCCGCAGCGAACACCCACAAGGCCTTGGTCAGCCATTTCTTCAACAATCCGTGCGCACAGAGATGTGGCGCGATTGCGATGGGCAGAATCTTCTCTCGGTCCTTCAAGACGTACCTTACACTGGTCGCACCGAACAATACGGTGGGGATACCACCAAGACTACCCGATTAAGAGGGGTCTTTTCAACCACCACTTGTGCCTGGACATGCAGTCGCTGTGCTGGACGTTGGTCATGTGTAAATACGACTACATTACAAGCTGTCCAGGTGCTGAGAAGCGCAATGTCGGAGCACGACGACGAGCGGTCATACATTTTGACCACATGTTTTGCTTCTTGCGTCTCGCCCGGTCTTGAATTCGATGAGCGCTACCACTGCTACAACACATCATCACCCAGTCAGACCAGTTCATTGCACTAGAATGAATCTTGGAGTCGCTTCAGCAAAGGTAGGAATCAACACCTCTGCGAGTGTGCTTTTGCTACGCCGAGCATGGCACAGGCCGCCAACACCGGTTCTATTTCTAGCCATCTCTGTGATGCGAACCTGCCCCACAACGCAGACGCGCTCCATTAAATAATGCGAGCAGTATGGCTATAACTTTACCGCTTACACTTGCAACACTTGCAGTACGATGGTTATCCTCTAAAAACACACGAGCACAGGTGGCGCAGGGCACGCGACCGACGGTGGACGGCGCGGGCGTTGCCGCGCATCTCGCCACCGATAGCATGTCGGCTACGCGTCGCGCCATTCTCGAGCTTGACGAGCCACACGCCGTACGGGCACTCGGCGCCGTTCGGAAGAGGACCTTGGGGCGTCGCAAACGCATGGCTGTCAAAAAACCACGTCGTGGGCTTCGTCGACGGCGCCTGGTACACAGCGCCAAAGCTGCAACCGAGCGAGTCGCCCTGCGTCTGGTTGATGAAAGCACGAGCGTCGTCGTAAGCAGCTGCACGTAGCGTTGGAGAACCGGACCGACGTCCGGGCAGTCATAGACACTCGTCGTGTTGGCGCCGAGGTTGGTCACGAGCGTCCACGGGCCGTCGGCGGCCGGAATGAGGCTGAAGAGGTCGTTGATGGCGGCCTGCTTGGTCGTGATGAGGCAAGCAGCCGCGGCTTGGAAGTGCGCAAGGCGGTCGTTGGGTAAGTCGGGCGTGTAGTCGTACGTGGGCGCAAAGTGACACATTGGGTAGGCGTCGGAGGTCGTCGTAGCGGCGCGGCGTCGGCTCAGCCTCCTCGGAAGACAAAGCCAATGCGAGTGCGGTTGGCCGCAGAACCGAGGTGGCGTTCTCTGTTTCGTAGCCCTACCCGCATTGATAGCTTCAAGGTACGCGGCGTGTGGCAAGTCCAACGTGCATGTTGGCAGTCAAACGTGCATGGAATCGGTTGGTAGCTCGCTTTCGGCTGAGAAAGAACGAGTGGCGTCATGGTACCGGTTGAACGAACGTCGCAATCGAAAACTCCATCAGCTACAAAGCCATGTAATTGCATTCAGGGACAATTTCGTGCTGCAAGCCACGGGTCTTCTCAAAAAACAACGGTGTCCACTTCACGTACCGGTATCCAATGCGAGCGACGAGTGAATGCGATGGAAAGCCCCACTTAATTTAAATACGACGGGAAAATAATAGAGTAGACGCTCAGTAAGCTATGTACTTGGCCCACGGGCGTATTTTAATTTCGCACGTGGAAAAAAAAGCAATTTTATATCAAGCGAATCTTCCATCTTTCAACAGTTTCAAGATGACGTCATCAAGACGCACGCGTCAATCGATCGCCGACGAGGACGACCGACCGAGTGGATGGGAGCGACGGTAGCGTACTACACGACTTGTGCACCATGGTGGCTAAACGATGTGCAGTGTCACGCTGCAGCGAAGGAGCCCGCACGTCGTCGCGAGGGTACGCCGAGCTAACAGCTGCCGTGCTTGAGGCCACAGAAAGCTCGCACGGTGCCAAGCCGACGGCCTCCGCCGCCTCATACAAGTCGCGGCCAGGCAACGAAGGTGCACGCCTGGCAACACGAAGCGATTGGCATCAAGCCCGAGAAGGACTCAATGGTTTCATGGCCCATGAGCGCGTCGGGCAGCTGCGCGCCTTGGGTCCTACTACGCCGGGTTCGGCTTCTTCTCGGTCTTGATGGTCGTCGCCCCGATGTGCTTTCAAACATCAAGAGGAACTGCTTTCTGCAGCTGGAGGCCCGCAAGGCGCCGAATGGGAACGAGCCATGGACGCCAAACGACTTTACCATGCCGTCTACGCGCAGCGTCGTTGTGCAACTGGTTGTCGGCTTCGCTAACCCTCGCTCGGCACTTCTCGGTCACGATTTGCGCACCTTGGCCTGGGCGTGTGCAAGAGATGATCCACGCAATCCAGGTACTCCAGCCGCGCGTGACGGCGTCGGCGCAGATCGGCGCGGGCGTCAACATGGAGCTCGTGCCGCTCGCGATGCAGCTCCAGGACGACATCCAAGACGCGTTCAGCCAGTACAACGACACGATCTTGGCGCTGCGACTCGACCAAGACTTTCACTAAACCTCAAAAAGAGTCTACTAGTAGCGCGAAGGAACGCTGCACAACGACGCTCCTTGTAGCGTAGAGAAGAAGCCAATGCTATGCATTTTGCACTTATTGAGCATCGCAGCCGCTCAGGCCTCGCGTCGGTAGCCGCTACGGGCGATACATGTAGAACATACACCGACGACGGCTGTTGACGACGTTGGGCAGCGAGCAAACAGTGTACAGCCTCATCATCGATACAAAAATCCATTCTCGTCGTGTCGGGCTGTCAAACCACATCGCGTTCTTTGTCGACGGCGCTGGTACACGGCGTCAAAGCTGCAACCGAGCGAGTCCACAGCCACGATCTTCGCCTTGTGGGTGAACGGTACAAGCGTCGTTTGAGGGCCGGGCAGCCGGCCATGTTCGTTGCATGGGCGCCGCGCATCCACGGGCCGTTGGCCACAGGGAGGACGAGACAGCAGAGGTCGTTGATGGCGACCTGCTTGGTCGTCGTGATGACCGGTTTGGACGTACGGTACGCTTTGAGCATACCAGGCGTCACCGTCTGGTCGTCGCAAGTCTTAGGTCTCGTAACCCTACCCGCGTGACAGGCTCAAGTTGCGTGCGTTTAGCCCTGGTCCATGCGGTGTTATTGCTCGTCGAAAGTCCATCGATGCTATTACTAGTATTGCAATCTCTCTTGGCCGAAAGGAAGCAAGGCGTTCGCTTGTGTATACCACGCGCAGTGGCTTGCAGCCATCAAAGCAACGCACACGTGTGAGCGAGGCGAGCCTGCGCCCCAGCCCTAGAACCATCATTCACTTTCACTTCGAAACGCGCCACGTCATTGGTCGATCCGATGGCGTTGACTGCATACAAAACGTCTAATATCTCGAGGTTGAGGGGGATTTTATTGCTAGTCCGACGCAATTCCAATGCAATTTGGCGGCTTTGCACCCCAATACAATGAGCACTGCGTATACTTTAGACTCACCCATTGGTACAATATTAGTTTGATTGACACGCGAGTGTTTTTTAATTCAAATCAATTCACACTTCATCTGCGACGACGTCAAATTTGCTTTGCTCGCTTGGACCAAACGGCGTACGCAGCAGTATCAGCAACTCGGCAGGCGCCGCGATGGCCGCTCGCTAGCAGCATGGCGGCGCAGGACGACGGTGCAGAGCGCCTCAAGAACGAAGACGACGTGCGGTCGTGACCATGGCAGCGCGTGTAGACCACCGCGACACGGGTCGTGCCTCAACCCAATCTGGACAGCAAGACGGCGGCCATGGCCTCACGAAGGCCGGGCTGGCGAAGGCGCCGAGCTCGACCGCCCACGCGCTTTACGCTTGCTGCTCGCGCTCGCGGGCGACGCGGATCTCGCGGCCGCCGTCGCCAAGAGCGCCGCGCATCAACCAAGCTTGGTCGCTTGGATCGCGCTGCATCGCGCTCTTCTTCTGGCAGCGAGGTCGTCCAAGGCATCGCAAGGGCCTCATTTCGCGACCGTCGTACTCGAGTTTGACGGCTTTAACGACCACGTCGCCGCGGTCGTCAAGACGGGACAGAACACGCTGTCCGCCAAGGCGAGCTTCCTCGGTCACCTCCGAGCTCGAGAAGATCCGCATGGACATTCTTCTGTCCAACGTAGCGATCGAGGTTGTCCGTGGAAGGCGCCACCAACGGTATGCATATTCTCCTCTTGTATTCATTTTCATATTGTATTTTAGGGCGCCAACCCTTTAGCTACATCGCCAGCCCGGCCCGCGTGCCCAGCTTTAGATGTAGTCCCCTAACATTCAATCAATCAAACATATTTCGCGTTGAAATCGAATTAGTGAAGTCTAAAGCTAACTCAAAGACTTTGGGGCTAGTACGCCTGAATGCACGCAAGTACCAGACTTGCACGACGTTGATTTGCCAACCGACTGTGCGACGCCGTCACCCTTTAGAGAACCGACAACGTTGCACGTACTCGACCGCGGCTCTACAGTGCTTTGCGTACGGCCAGAGAGCGCCAAGACGGACGCGAAGGAAGTTGTCGACCGCCACATGACGTCTCTCGTGAGCTGCACGCTGTCGTGGTACACCGACTCATCGTCGCTCTCGCGGGGATATAATGGCAGCAACCAGCGCTGCCGAGTTAGCATGTCATCTCGCGAGCACAGGAGGAAAGAGAGCGCGGGAATGCCAAGCAGATCGCTCCGGTCGTGAACTTGACGCATCACCACGCAAGAAGATACTCGTCCGTCGTGCAAATGCGGCCGTCAAGGAGATGAGACGTCGCTGGCCCTCCCGTGCTTTCGCCCCGTGGGCGCGGTCGCCCTGCCTCCACGAAGTCCCGTCGCCTCCCGGCCCTCCGCCGCCGCCACCAGTCGTCCAGCCTCGCCGCGTGCGGCGTCGGTTCTATGCGCTCGGTCGGTATCCGGATTTATTCGGATGCGGGCTCGGACGGTTTCGTTTGAAACACACCCGACGGCTTGCACTCCTCTGTCGGGTGGTCCGAGTACCGGAGCCTGCGTACGAACTCGCGCGAGCTATGACTCGGCGAGTGGGGTCCACCACGGGATGGATCTCTCCGTGCGCAGCTCACTCCCAACGACCAAGTTCTGGTGCGTGTGCGAAGTCTTTGAGTTTGTTTATGCTATGGTAATTTGATCTCAACGCGAACACGTATTGATTGTGGTGCGAATGCATGCGAACTTGAACCGCCGCGTGTATCGCACGCTCGTAGGCTTAACATATAGCGGCTCGTGGCGCTCAAGTTCGTGCGCCACAAGCTCAATACCGAACTTGGAGCTCACCCTGCCAGGCCGTGGATTGATGATGACGAACGCATCTGAGCTGGAGGCAGCGAATGCACGAGGCCGGGTGTCCCGAAGGAGCTGCCGCCAGGTAGGCGTCATGGAATCACGACTCGATAGGTCATTGGCGGTGCGCACAGCTGCTTAGCTTTTCAAGCTAGATGACCGAGGTGTTGCTAGCTAGCTACGCACAAAGGACTTTGATCGCTTGACCAAGGCGATGCCGTTGGCTCCAGCCTGCCATGCAAGTCGACGACCGCTATGGTAGCAATATAAACGATCATTCTGTGTGGAAAAACGCAAGAGCGCTACTAGAATATAACACTCTACTAGTACTAGTATGCCACAGACGTCGTGCGCGGGAGGCCGCTGCGCGTCGCCGCCGGTGGCCAGGCAGGTCGCCCCCGTTGTGAGCACTCGAAAACGTGTAGAGGTCGCGGCTTGCCTGGCTACGCCAGCAGGAGCTTCACGGGCAGCCGCAGCAGTCGGGTTGGTCGGCGCGTCGCCCTGCTTCCTGAGCGCTTCCGTCCCACCTGCAGTTTTTTCGGTATAAGCCTCGAGAGGGTACCTCTAAAAGTGGATACCGTCCGTAGTCTGAGGCCACATTCGATTCGCTTCATCTGTCATCGCAT